CTCTCTCTCTCTCTCTCTCTCTCTCTCTCTCTCTCTCTCTCTCTCTCTCTCTCTCTCTCCCCCCAACGGGCAGCAGCGGCGGGTGCCACCCCGAAACGGCCGCTTTGAAATTGCTCGGGCCTGTGCGAAACCCGCCACCTCAAAAACCTGCAGTGTCTTGTGTCTGAACCTCTAGGCCATGTCCGGTGGGGTGAAAGGACACTTAAAAATCACCCCGTTATTTTTCGAGGAGCGGCTAGGACCCGATAAACGTCCTGGGCCGCCTCTTTTTTTTTTTGATTTTTGCCCCAGGGGCCTCCATCCAGACATGAGGACCGGGCACCGGACACCAGACACCGGACTGTCTGGAACCCGGTCCGGACGTCCGGACGGTTACAGAGAATGAAGATTAGCATGGCCCCTGCGCAAGGATGACACACATAAATCAAGAAAAAAAGAAAGAGAGGAAACTCTAGCAAGATCTATTCACAGTGAAGTTACCGTGTGCATGTGATTTCAGTTCCAGTTTGCTTATGTGTGAACATGTACGAGAACTGTTTCCGTCAGCTTGTAATCGATGGTCTTTATGCCTTTTCCAGAAGTAATTCATTCATTCATTAATATGCCTGCACCCTCCCACCCATCCACCCACCGTCTCGTGCATCCGGCCATTGACTTACCACCCATTCACTGGCTCGCAACCACCTGTCCACTGACTCACTCGCTCGGTCACCCACTATCTCACCGACGCAATCACCCGCCCACTCACGCACTCACTCACTCTTACTCACCCACCTACTCACTCACTCTTACTAACCCACCCACTCACTCACTCTTACTAACCCACGGACTCACTCAATCTTACTCACCCACCCACTCAGCCAATCATCCCTTCACTCAGTCACCCCCTCGCTCAGTCATCCACCCACACGTTCACCCCGCAGTCACTCACCCACTCGCTCACTCACCCACTCAACTGCTCACGCACGCACTCACTCACTCACCCGCTCGCTCGCTTGCGAGCTCACTCACTCATGCATGCATACAATCTGCTGAAGGAATGAATGAACAAGCAAATTGATGAACAAACAAATGGACATACTGACGGGAAGATGGACAAACAGATGGACGGATAAGGGGACATATGGACAGATGGGTGGACAGAGAGACAACCAGCAAACCAACAGGCAGACCAATCCCCGTTCCGCCCTTCTTCCCAGCTTCTCCCCCACTGCGTTCCAAACTCCCCTCACCGTTTTCAGGAAATTTGAAAGTCGTACCTTAGGACATCTTCAAAGTTTCAGGAAAGCTGAGCTGTAAGTTGGTGTCATTTATGGGCCCAGCCCGGCGAGCTGTTTACTGAGACTGTTTCCTCTCCCAAAAATAAGGGAGATAACTCCAATCAACTGGAAGCAGCAGTCTTATTTCAACAATAATGGCATCTCATTGATCCCAAGAACATGCATAATCCAAGGACTGAAAAAAGAAGAAGCCATGTCGACCTTACTATGTATATAAACCATACTTGCGGCGCATCGACATGCGCTGCACCGTGCACACGCGCCGCACTGCGCACAGCGCACGACGCGCGCGCACGGGGTGCGGCGCACCCCAAAAATAAGGGGTCGAGGAAAGAAAGAAAAAAAAGTTGGGGAGGGGTGTTTTAGACCCGAGTGGGATGTCGCGTCATAAACCACAAAAAAAATATTAACAAAAATTTGAGGCCGCACGGGGCCTCTGAAAAAAAAAGGGGAGAAGTTCACTTTTTTGCTTGTGTGTGTGTGTGTGTGTGTGCGTGTGTGTGTGTGTGTGTGGTTTGTGTGTGTGTGTGTGTGTGTGTGTGTGTGTGTGTG